GGAGGGAGGGACTCTCAATGAAGGAAGTCAACAGCTTTCTGGAGGTGCTGGTGAAAGTGAAGGAACATGCTCAGGAATGCTCTATTCACAGAGCTGCTCATGTTCCTGAAACTTCAGCTCTCCACTTTTGTTATGCATCTGAAACTCCAGGATCTACTTAAAAGCAGGTTATCTGTTTTCAAGAAGTAAATCTCCTGGATAGGTACCTTACATGAGTGTGCCTGAGAGGGAAGGTGTGGGGCTTGAATGCAGCTCCCAGCCAAAGCCCTATCTCTTTTGGCACAGGTTCTCAGGGATGAGACCATGTCTAGCAAGGATTTTCTCCAGCTTCAACAGCCTTGGCCCTACCAAAACACGAAGCTTTGTTTTCCCCATACATCACTCATTAGGAGTCTCCTCATTTTTCCTTTCAAGCATCCACAGGTCAAATACTGTGTGTTCCCAGCAGTCTGTAAACTTCTTGGACCAGCAAAAGGGACATTCATTTTGCTCAGCACTCCTTTCACGTTGCTATTGTGTTGGATTTCCCACTCCCCCTACCCAGTCCCCCGAGAGTAACTTCCTCCTTGTTTTAATAACTTGGACCACAGTCAAGGTTGATGTGTTTCTCCATTTTGCAGGATATTTTCTTCAGAAGAGACAAAACAGAGGCCAACAGGGTAGCTGAGGCTTGTCAGCAGCCCTAAGAAGTCAGCAGCCATTTAGAATGCACACAGAAAATGTTTTCCCACAAATACAAAACAGAAAGCACAAGGCATCCAAACCAGAAGTATTCAATATTGACAATGAATGCTCAGGATCGCACTTTTAAAAGCTGAGTTTCTCCTCTAAGAAGATAATACAGTGGGTAAAACCACTTGTTCTGCATGAGGATCTGAGTTCAAATCCCCAACACTCATATAAAAATCCAGGTATGGCATATCCTGAGCCTAATTCAAAAGGGTAAGTTTCTGGTTCTGTGGGAGACCCTATCTCAAGGCATGCACCACACACACACACACACACACACACACACACACGCACCCCACATTTATACACAATTTCATTTATTTGTGTACAGAAAAGGAATGGGACTTCATTAAGTTCCTTCTCTCTAGCTGAAATTGAAATACAGGATTCTCCCACTTAAGTTGATAAAAGCAGTTCAACAGACATGCAGAGATTAGAAAATGAGCAAAGGGAGAAAGAAAACAAAGAAGGAAGTCATTAGGAAGTGGAGCCTCCCACCACCAGCTTCTGCTTTCATTTCCACTTCCGCTTACCCACATTCTACCTAAAGTCCTGTCCTCATAGTAGCACTGCTCCATGACACCTGATGATAGATGTGCCCATGGGCTTGAGGGATAGAGAGAAACTCTGTGGAGTCACATTTTAAAAAGTAACCTCTTTGAGGACAGAAAACACAAATAGAATGCAGTGGGGTTCAGTCTAAGGTACGTGATATTTTAATTAAAAAGTGATACCAATTTTCATAAGTGATATGGTTATTATGATTTTTTTCTTGAAAATAAGTCAAATTGCTTGTGTTTCTCATCATTGAGATAGATTTATACAACTCTCTGAATAAGGTCAGCATTCCTAAACAATCTATTTTTATTTCAGAACTCCTTTTCCAAGATATAATTAATGGGTCAATAAGAACTCTTCAAGTTTTCTTTTATAAAACCAACAGAAGAGATTATTAACACTTTGCTTCATCCTGACAATAGTTTCTGACTCCTGGCAAGAAACAGATTTCATATATCTAAAGATTTTAAGATATCAGAATTAGGCTAGGCATCGTAGTGCACATTTTTTAACTTAGTACTCTAGAGGCAGAGGCAGATAGCTCTCTGTGTTCAGGATCAGCCTGATCTACATAGAGAGTTTCAGGATAGCCAAGGCTACTCAGTGAGACCCTGTCTCAAATATGTATATATTTTAAAATTTCCTCAGTCATAGAAGGACTCAGAACCAAGTAAATACCAAGATCCTTTATCTGTAATGTTTTGAAATTAAACAAACCACCAAACCTGTATTCCAGCATGAAGAATTTTAAAAATTAAAGCATATTGCTTACTTCACAATCATGTTCTGCCTGTCCTTGGTATTTAATCTTGGGAGAATTACTGAATTCTGAACAGCCAAGAGAGAGACTCAAGCCAAGAAAGGCAAAAGAAGTAATGAGCTAGAATTATTTGTGGCCCCTTGGATGGAAGTGGAGAGAGAGAGAATTCAAAGCAACAGAGGTTGATGGGATTTTTTTTTTCAGACCAGAGAAAGAAGTATAGATTTGAATAAAATAGCAGAAAAATTGGCGGAGTTAGGGGAGGAAGGGAGAAGGATCTAACTGTTACTCTTAGATGAAAAGCAACTCCACTGATCACTGAAGGAGACCCAACAAAACAGGACAGAACAAAAGAAAAAAAGAAAGAAGTCTGCTTCTAGGGTTTAAGCAGAGAAAATAATATCAGAAGAAATAGTTGAAGAAATGGCCCAGGGTTCAGGCTAAAAGGCACAAAAGTTTGGGAATGAAAAGAAGGTTGGGAAAGTCTTTTGCAAAGCCTGGCCACAGATTTAGGAAAAAAGAACAGTTCTCCTGGAAAATGTAAAGGTATACAGAGAAAAGCAAATTTAAGTAAAATACAACTGAAAGACTTGACTGACCTAAAAGGACTACCACATAAATGTCGCAAATTGAATGCTTTGAAATATTCACAAGGAAATGAGCAGGGTTCCTGCTCCGTGGTTTTTTTCTTAATTGTTCTGTAGGATGTTAATGAGAAATATCATTGACTCCGTGTGGTCTACGGTATGTCTGTGATAAACAAGAAGGGGATAGATTTTTCCCATTCCCATCTGCTACCCCGATTACCCACATCAGTCCTAACTCCTGCATTGCCCCAGATGTCAGTCAACAAGGCCATTGTCCACTCACTTGCTCTGCCCTTCTGTCCATTTCACTGAGCTGGAGCTCCCAGCAGCCATTCTAGAAGAGAAGAAGAGTCAGGAAATGGGGAATGGAAGACGCGTGGCTCTAGAAGGCTCCCAGAATCCAATGAGAAGCCTTGAAATACACAGAGACACAACACTAGCTGTCTTGTCAAGAGTGCCAAACCACATCCTCAGTCCCACTGGGGTCAGAGGTGGGGTGGAAGTCACCACAGAGAGGCTGAAGAGAGCCTGAGATTTAGAATGAGATCTGGGCTTAGAATCCCAGCTCTGCCACTTACGGGATGCAAACTCGGTAAATTACTTAACTCTCTGGACATGATTAATTCATCTGCAATGCAGGTAACAATACCTCATAAGCCTGTTAGGAAGACAAAGGGAGGTAACCCAGAAGAGCACCTGATACATCTCAGACACATCCACTGCTACTTCTGCAGACTTGTCAGAAAATGTGAATGAGCTCTTTTGCTATTGAAAACCTGCCCCACCTGCCTTCCTTGCTTAGTTTTAGGCACAGACAGAAGCTCCACCTATATCTGGCAGCTATATTCTCCTTAAGGTGGTTATATATCTTGAGCAAAACCAATCAATGCAACCAGGAGTGAACACATCCAAATCAACATCACTCCAATACAAGTTCATATCCAATACTTTGTACATGCAAAGCATTTCTTGTAAAGATAATACAATGGCTAATATCTGTGATAATGCTAGCAAAACAAAACAGATGACATTTCATGGACACAATATCTTTGAAGAATTCTAAAATATTCAAGAATGGAAGGCCACATTAAGTGTTCCCAATATTCCCAATTCCCTTGCTCCAGACAAAAGCATCCCATTTACATTTTTGAAAATTCAGTGTTGAGTACAACACTCTAATTGGAAGTGGGAGGGAAGTTTCTTGGTGCCACTGAGAGCTACGGCCCTTTTTTTTTTTTTTTTTTTTTTTGTCTTTTTTGAGACAGGGTCTCCCTGTAGCCCCAGCTGTCCTGGAACTCACTATGTAGACCAGGCTGGCCTTGAACTCACAGAGACCCGCCTGCCTCTGCCTCCCAAGTGCTGGGATTAAAGGCATGCACCACCACGCCTGGCTCCTATTTCTTTTTTAAAAAATATTTTATTATTTTTATTTTATATGTATGAGTGTTAGGCCTGCATGTAGGTAAGTGTACCCATGTTGTGCAATGCCCACAGAGAACAGAAGAGGCTGTCAGATGCCCTGGAACTGGAGTTATGGACAGTTGTTAGCTGCCATGTAGGTGCTAGGATTCCAACCTGAGTCTTCTGCAAGAACAGTCAGTGTTCTCTACTGCTGAGCCACCTCTCCAGCCCCTATGGCCCTATTTCTAAACCTATTCTCCTTTCACAAGTTAAAAATACCCTGAAAATGGTTTGACTAGGTGGGCAATAGAGAAAAGACCTTACCCCTTTAAGGTGGCTCCTAGGTTCATCTGATTCCAGGTCATGCATTCAAGCTGGGAGGTCATTTGGTATAAATTGTCACTGTTGAAAAACATCCATGGTTAGAAACATAGTTATATATGCAAAGACACAATTGTTCCTTCAAATGCAATGGAATTTTGACTTATCTTTATAGCACAAGTCTCCATATTTTCTAGAACAGCAGAATGTGTGGATGTGAAACAATTTTCACTTTGTCCCACAGATCTCTGCAGTTATCCACTTCACACACAGGGATCACAAAAGATGTGAGAGTAATTTGGATGCTTAAAAATACCTTAGTATGGGGAACTTTGGAGTTTCTAAAGAGGTATGGGGCCTTGAGGGGGGGGGGGAGGGTAGAAGGAGTAACGCTTTAAAAGGCAACACAGGCTGGATAACTCAACATTAAAGTTAAAAGCCTAAGGCTGAAAGTAAAAAGACAGCAGATTAATTATTCGTGAAAACGCCATTAAGTTTTTTTAATCAAAAGGATAAGTATCATGTGTATTATGAAGGTCCGAAAAGTCAAAGACTGATGGGTGATGGATGAGCTAATCCTCAAGGATGTGACAAGCAAAGGAAAGAGCAATAAATTTGGTGCACAGCTGAAGGAATTATTCTGCCTAAATTTTATAATCCTGGTACAAGTCAAGTGGAATTTTAAGAAAGTTTTAAAAAAAAGCCAGTGATTTATAGTAAGACCCCAAAAGTGAAAATACACCTTCATGTACCCACCCTAAAGCTGTTCTCTCCTTTGCACACATCTCACTCCTAGCACATAAATCAATGACCCCAAATCTCCTACATGATCATATTCCATCAGAAAAGGCATTTAGGCCAGAACTGAGAGGGTTAATTATGAAATCTGAGCCTCAAGAGATTAATGGTTTGTCTGGAAACCTTCGGTCTAAACACATTACAGAAGAAAATTTTCATTCTACCTTCGTGGCAGAAGTGAACAGAGATAAGAAGCATTCAATATCTAACATGTGATACCAGATCACAAATCCTGGACAGTCTCCCGTCCTGTCATAGCATTCCTTTCAGTTGCTACATCAGGCAGAGGCAACAGGAATTTTTAATTCAGAGAGGGTTTTCTCAGGCCATCTCCGGGGGAAGGGGGGCTGGAAATCACATCAGCTCTAATAATTGAACACTGTGCGCTCTCACTCAGCATTGCTTGATAAATCATGGCGGAGTCCATCTGACTCTTATATAATCGCTCTGCAAATTATTTGGAACTCCTTAGTGGCCAGTACATGAGATGAGGAAGAAATCAGGTTCCAGCAGGGAATTTTTGCATATGAAAAGTGAAGTGATTTCAAACTCCAAGTATGTGTAGCTTTATTAGTCAGCGTGTATCTGGACCCCATCATTCATCCCCGTGTCTGACCGGCTATTATGCTACCACAATATCCTACATATCAATGAAAAAAATGATTAGTTTCCCCTGTAGCTTCCCGGTTCACAGCAGCAGCCCGTGCTGGTCTGTGCCATTGCATTTCCCAATTCCACAAATTCTTGCTGTAAGACTGGTATAATTAATTCCTGAAGGACCCCAACTTTTATTAGAAGTGCCAGCCTGGTGCATTTACCACAGGAGAGTTTCTTGAACTTTCTTTGGGCTGACAGTTCATTAATAAGTGGCCTCCTCCACAATCTCCCCCCTGGTTTTTGTTCTCCTGTGCCTTTTCATCAAGCAATCCATTTATTAATCTTGCCATTAATCTCAGCCAGCAGGCATTGTATTCCCCCAGGTAGCGCTATATTTTTGTCACTAATTTTTAAAAAATTGTTCACCAACAAAAATCACTCAACTGCTGTTGACAATTTTCCGAGGCCCTGTTGGGATGTGGAATCTTTCTGAAATCATTTAATCCTTACATAAGATTCAAAATATAATCATATTCAAAAGGCTGTGAAACAAGATGAATAACAAGTTTATGCACAAAGATGAATGAATCCAAAATATCCAACTTTACATTTGGGAATTTTCTAAGCCTTTCAAAGCACAATGCTATGGATTCCTAGTGGCCTCTCCACAAAGGGATCTCAGAGACCAATATTTTTTAAGGGTATTTCCTTGGCCCCCAGAAAGCAAAGTTTCTCAAATACAAGGGAAATGTCTTACATTTATGTATCTTCCTATGGGGCATTTAGCAAGTGTCCTGTATTACACTGTACAGTACAGGAGCCACTGGTCATGTATGGTTATTGAGTGCTGAAAATAGAGCCAAAGCCAAACATTGAAATAAAGCTTTGGTTATATTGGGTCAAGTACAATATTTTATAACAAGCTTTCTTTTCACTTTAATGTGTTTATTAGCACATCTCCAATTACATGTGTAACTTGCACTATGTTTGTACTAGACAGTAGTACTTTATTAGTGGCAGTTGGTATGTCCTGTACCTTTGGAAACATCTGAGACTCACTGTCACTTATATAATAATCATAATCACATTAATAGCCTAATGAAATAAAAATAATGGTAGATAATAAAATAAAACTATTTTGTCTTTGGGATTCTTCCTCAGAGAGGCCCTTAGGAATCATTGGACTTATACTTTGAACTTATGAGAAAATCTGAGCAAATGATAGTAGAGCTCTGTGCACCTCAGTTTTCCCATCTGTCAAATGAGAAAATTAATCTGAGTTTCATTTCATGGGCATGTTGTAAGGCTCAAAAAAAAAGTTAATGCCATAATGTCTCCTTGAAGATGATATGGAGAATAGACCCTAATTTTTCTAGCCTGACAAGTTTTGTACAGCATAGTTGTACACTCTCAATATAACTCCTAACAGCTCCATGGAGTAGAAATAATTATCGCCTCCATTTGTCAGACAAGGACTGGGACTCAAAGAGGTGCCTAGTGCTAACATGCCTCATGTGCCTCTGCCCTGCTCCTTTGAGAATAATTTGACGTCCGAACCGACACTATTACTTAAATAATAACAATAATAATGGATCTGGAGGAAAAGAGAACATGCCCAAGGGAACATCAAGACCAACTCTGACTCCTAGAAGCTGCAGTGATGCAAGATGCCCATTGTATCCTCTTCTGTTCACTAAGGATAAGGCATCTCCTTCCCGAGGTAACCAAGATTCCAGTGGGGGCCCCACTTTGTGCTTCAGTTGTCCTGACAGCTCAGCCTGTAAATCTTCAGAAGGCAAAGGAAAGTGGAGAAATGGAATGTGAGAGAGGGACATTCAGAAAATCTCCATGCTACTAACAAGTTTCCTGAGGACAGAGATAGGATCAGAGCACAGTTTTAACCACATCCTGCCTTCTGCTGCCCAGGGCTCCAGTGGCTCAGTGAGCTGGCTAGATGGCATAACCTTTCCTCTGGAAATCAATGACAGCAAATGACAATAATTACTGCTGCAGAATACAGAACGTCAACTTGAGCTAAAAATATCAGGTCCTACCATGCTCAGACACTGATCTCTTTAGGCAATCAGTCAAAAAGCAGTTCTCATCATGGAAGCCCATGGAAAGAGACAGCACCAGTCAGGAAACATTGACCTCTGGCAAACTGAAGCATCGACTTATTAAATGTCTATGGTAGGTGTCTACCACTTCATCCCCAGAAGAGATCAGATAAGCAGGTGGTTTGGCTCACAGCAGCCACAGTGGTCACGTAGACATTTCAGTCCAACCGTCTAGCTCCATTTGGTTGGAAGTGAACTCTGAAACTGCAGGCTGCCAAAATATATTCCAAAAGTCATGATGTCTTTTATATTTTTAAGTAGATTTTTTTAAGTCACTTGTTTCCTATGTAAGAAATGTTTGAAGTCAGAGGCAAGGGAGAGAGGAAAGAAACTTCTATAACTGGGATTAATGCAAGTTGGAGTAAAATAAAAGGAAGTCAGTCCTAGCAAAAGAGGGAACTTAAAAGGAAATCAGTAGTAGATCATATGGAGTTTGTTTTGGCCTGGATTGCAGTATTACTGAGTTCTTGACCTCTACACAAAAGAAAGGAAGAAAAAAAATAACCTCAGCTATTATCTAAACCAGAACTCCTCCACTCATTCAAATGCAGTGGGCTCAAGCACGTTTTCATCTTTAAGTATGTTTACTAGAGTCAACAGAACAAGGAAGAAAGGTCTCCATTAGCACTGAAGCAGAATTATCCAACCTGACTGAGATTAGGATTTCTTCTGTTAGTGTGCTTACTGGCTGGCAAAATAGCATCTCAATAGAAGTGAAGTTTCCCCATAGGATTTTTAAAGTCAAATAACAACAAAAAAGCAGAGATATCCAGCATTTGTGATAAGAATGTGATGTTCCCAGCTTCTGCTATGATGGCCCAGTCCTGAACCAATGGAAAGGTCTCTATGGACTTGCCTGGACCACTAAGCAAGGCACATGTGGACAAGCTACATGCAGACATCCACAGAGCCCCTTTCCTGTGCTCTTCCCTCCATGGCGCCATGGAGGCTGACTGCCCTGAACTTTCTGCCCAGCAGGCTACAGTGAATAATTATTTCATAGTCACTCTCTTGGTATTGTATTTGCTCTCAAGCTCACCAGCTAACCAAAGGAAAACCCACTGGGGATGCAACTTCTATTAATAAACACTTGCTCAGCACAAAAGTTACAGGAATATTTGGAACTAGATTTTTCCCCCTCCCTGGAGACGGATTCGGTTCAAGCCTGTGGCTTTGATAACATGGTCTACCACCCTGGAAACCACTTCAGACCTTCCACCTGCCTGCCTATGCGGGAAACATAATGTTACACTGAATAAAAGTACAGTGTAAGATACACATAGGTACACAAGTGAAAACATGCAATATTAATAGTAATTTTATTTTCTTGAGTACAGCTGTCATTTGATTTATATCTATGGTGAAGGCTAGCCCAAGTAATAAGTTATGAATATCCCTTTGAGCTACAGTTACCAAAATTCCACAGAAATTCTATTTCTGCTAAGATTGTTGCTGTCCTGTGAAAGACAATCTGCCTGTCCTGGGCTCTACTGTCCACATCACTATTTGAGAATCATGAGTATTCAGTTGAGAATACTTGAACCAGAAGTTATTCCTTTTAGAATAAATGCTGTGGGCTAAAGAGCAAATGTGAGGCAAGAGGAAAGCTCCTCATTTAAGCTGATAATAGTGGCTAAAGAAAGCTATGTAAAGCTAACTGAAGAGCAAAGCACAACGGGAAAAAAACTCAGTATCAATAAGAATGTTTCAAACATGGTGCCCATAACTTTCCAAAGTAACTGTGAGGATCAATCCATGCCCTGGGCACTGACAGGGGGTGGGGGCACCGAGGAAGTTAGCAAGTGGGAGAGACAGAAAGGAAGGTTTGGAGAGAAATACAGCCAGCTGCCTTTTCTAGGTGGAAGTTTCAGGGGGGTACTACTGAGTGAGGTAGGACTTCATTACTTCCACCCCAGGAGGTCACGTGGTAGTCTACCCTTCCCTGAGGCCTTGCCCCTGGACAAGCACAAACCAATGTGACCCTGGAAGCAGTCCCCCCCCCAAAATGAGATGGATGAAAAGAAGGGTCTCTGCTCTTAAATTGTTTAGGTGGCCATACTGAGCTTCATCCTAGTAGCCCATGCCCAGAGGTAAACATGAAGCTGAAGGGATCTAGAGTTGAGAAGACAGCTGCTTTATGAGTTAGGAGAAAGATCAAGTGTGCTTCTAACAATACACACCAAGGAAAACACTGCCCCCCCCTCACTTTCCATGGCGATTACGGGTAAAATGGACTTTCACCAATGTGGGAAACAAGGTTCATCCTCCAGCAAGACTGACAGGTGCCACCTTCAAAGGTGGCGCCCAGCCATGTGCAAGAGAGCAGGGTGCAGAGGGAAGGAGGATGGGACTTCTGGAGCCTCACTATCTGAATTTGAATCCTAATTTTATCTCTTACCATGTCCCACTAGAAAATTCACCTTTCAGTGCTTCAGTTTCTTCCTCTGTAAAATGGAGATGATAAATCCATTACCTATCTCAAAGTTTAGTTATGTGGATTAAAGAGATCAATACCTTGTATAAGGTACTTACAATGGCACCGGGCACATGGTAGGTCCATGCAAGCATTTTTACCTGCTATTTACCAATGAAAGATACTGGTATGAACTGCAGAGGAATATAATCCAGACAAGGGATAGTGAGTGGTCCAGAGTCACTCTCACCCCAAGTATAGACAGGCTTCGAAGTCAGAGAGACTGAAAACCAAGTCCCAGTTCTGATTTTTACTCAGTGTGTGAGCTTGAGCAAGTTATTTCAAGTTTCTGAACTTAACTCCTTATCAATAAAATGGAGACTATGGTACCTACTTCAAAGAATAATCAGATTAGATTAGTGAACTGAGAAAGCATTTATCCTAGTTCCCAATAGTAAATCAATCTTGGTTATTATGCTATAGACTCATGCCTCCATTAGCACCTAGCTTCAGAAACCTTGGTAAACTTTTGACAAAATTGTACTCATCTTTAGCATGGGGGGCTGGAGAAAAACACATCCTATCCCTCCTCATAGGTCAACTAGGGACTGTATATAGCTACACACAAACATGTGTGGAACTCAGAACTGCTTCCTAAGAGAAGGAATTAATTCAGGAGACAAAGAACTTTGAGACTCTCTTCACACTGTACTCTGCTTTTTTCATGCCAGAGATGTGGTATTTCCTCTATTTCAGGTTAGGAAAGGAAAATAGATCCCTAGAGAAGGGAAACAAAAACTTTGTATAGGGGTGTAGGCTGATGGGGAACAGGCAGCTAAGGAGTCTACCTCAGAATGCCACACACAACAAGGCAAACAAAATACAAGTAAGCCTTTCCCACAAAGTCTCAACTTCATACAGAAAAAGGAATGGAGCCAGGGAGCAGTAGAAACACCAATGAACACCAAAATTCAAAAGTCATTCATCAGTTAAAGGCTTAGTTTGATTTTCTATGATTTTCAAATGTTATATTTACACAAGCATTTAAATACCCTTCAAACTTTTTTTAGGACTAGGAAAGAAGAAAATCATATAAATTTGGTAATATTGGCACACAAATCTAATTTTAAAACACCTCTACAATTGCCCATTCACCATTTCTTCAGAGGAGGTATATGATTTTAGAAAGGGGATTATCAATGTTGTGAATTGAAGTTGGGTGGAGCCCAAAGACTCAAGGTGACTAGGATCACAATTGTCTTTGAGATGTTTCTACTTAGGAAATTTCTGTAGTAAGAGAAAATGGTGTTTTATGAGATTCACGTAAAAATAAGATCAAAGAAAGTTTAAGATTTCATAGAAGAGATAACTAAACATTTATGTAAGGTGACTTGGACAAAATTGCTTTCAACAGTGGCCGGTTAGAACTTGGACAAGAAAATACGCAAGTTTTGTATATAAAATACAATCTGGGGGTAGGGTTGTGTAGCACAGTGATAGAGTGGGTGTTTTGGATACATGAAGGTCTGAGCTCAACCTCCAGCACACACACAAAATTAAAAAAAAATCAGAATGACTGTTCCCATCTTGATAGCAATCATAAATTCATTCCTAAGTCAAAATCCATCATAGGGACTTGGTTTGGAGAACTGATATTAAACCATGCATTGTGGTCACTTTATCTCAGACACCTTCTTCTGGGCAGCTTAGCCTTTCTGATGGACACCCTTTCTAGAGTCCCTCAACATGGGTCTGGGCTTGGCAGAAAGGATAATGAGGGTGTGTGTCTATAGCTACATCAGTATTGTGAGGAACTGTGACACCTTCCCAGTTGCCAGTCGCCAAGGAACAGGGCCCATTTCAACACTGTGGCCTCCCACACCAAGCTCTTCCTCCTGACTGAAGGGTTCAGGGAACTGTTCCAGCTGACTCCCTTATAGCTCTAGAATAACGGAGATGAGATGACACCCTGGTGATAGACAGGAGTAGCTGCTCCAGAGGATGGCCACAATTCTCCCAAGAGGCTTACAGCAAAGAATGGATGCAAACCTTGTACTCAGTCTAGTGATTTGGCCCATTGGGAAAAGGCACTCGGGACAGTGGGCTTGAGGTAGAACGCTGGTTCTGCGGTGCCAGCACAGAACTGGTTTCTAGCTAGAGGCAGAAAAAAAATGTGGCCCTCCAGGTACAGTGTGCCTACTTTTCTCCATGCCCCAAAGATCCCATTAGCCACGCGGGATTTTCACATCAAAAAGAAAGATTTCCAAAGTCTGAGCGCCCCAGGGGCCAGAAATGGAAGACTTTGCACCTCTAGAAATTCCCAGGAAGGAAACCGGGTGGGAGAATCCAACCAGCCCCAGAGTCCATTTCTTAAATGCAGCTGAGACTCCGGGATACGCTCCTGCAGGCTCAAGAGCAAGGATGCGCCCCTCCTCCACCTGAGGGACTCGAGGTCCCCAGGCGTGGCCATTCCCCAACCCAATCTCCCAAGACAGGCGCTTTTCCTTCCTTCATTACCTCACTACCTCCTTCCCTTGACGTCAGCCTCCAGGAGCCAAGAGGCGGGAGGATCGGGATGGGTTTAGGGGCTGTCGGTGTCAGGATCTCTGCCTCACCCGGGGGGGAGGAGGGAGTTGTGAGGTAATGAGCGCCCAATCCCCAGCAGCGAAGACCCTGTGCGGCCACTTCCCTGCCTCCGCCCCACCTTCCCCGCCGGTGTGTGCACACCACAGTTACTAGGCAACCCTATCTGAGACGCGGGATGCTGTCCAAGTTCACCCAAAGTTGAAGAATAAATTTGGGGCAGAAAAGATGGAGCAGGGTGGGGCTAGGGACGAAAGAAGAAGCAGGAGCGGGGGAGAGGGGACGGCTTCGAGGGAAAAAAAATAATGTTTTTCTTCTGCCGCAAAGAGTAAGGACATGCGTGGGCAGAAGCTGTCTCCCAGATCACCGTCCCGCACCAAGACTAGAAGTCTCGTCCCAGAGCTCCCACAGGCTGCTACAAACCACCTCCACAAAATCCTAGAGGCCCTTGGGGGGGGGGCGTGGCTCACCCACCGTTTGTGGCTTAAGTAGTTAGGCCCCTTGTGGCCAGTGAGCTTGGAAGGCTTTAAGCATAAGAATGGAGTAGGAGTGGACTCGGGGCTTACTTTTTGGTCCTAGGGAAAGTTAAAGACCTCGCTCGCCATAAAGCTCAAAAGCAACGGCTTTCGTATACGTTCAAATTCGAAAGGGCCAGAAGGTCCGGACACCTGCTATAATTTGCAAAGGCTTCATTTGCCTCCAAGCCCCGCCCTCCAGCAGTCAGCGATGCCCAGACCTGGTTTCCATGCCGTCTGCTCACCTGCCCCTCTAGGGTCAGGAGGACACAGTCGTAGTACTCAGCACCTTACCTGCTGTAGGGCGTTCTCAGCAGAAGAGCCTGGCTGCCGGTGCAGCTGTCAGTAGGGGTGTGGCAGCCATAGACTGGGGGCGGCACAGAGTACTGCTGCTCGCCTGCCAGAGAGCCAAGGACAGCAGTGAGCAAGACCCAGGGGTGTGGGCAACCGGCGGGGGAGCGGGTGCGGTGCGATGGGTGCGGTGCGGGAGAGAGAGTGCTGAGCAGCGGATGATGGCGCCTGGAGCCCAGCGAGGAGAAATGGATGTGGGGAGCTAAAACTTTCTCGCTTTACATTCCTCAGTCACTCTCAGGCATTCATAGTCTTGGCTGAGAATTAATTTCCTTAAACTATTTGGGACGAAAGGAGCCTCGATCTTTTCTTTAAAATAGTACAAAAACAGGCATTGTTTTTAAGACGAATTTCCTTTAGTTGACCTCCACCCTCTGCCCCAACTTGCTTGGAAATTCAGGGGATGGGACGCAGATGGAAGAAGAGGGTAAAGACCAGCAACATTCCCATCCACCCATCCACCCACTTACCCAGCGAGCCCTGCTGGCCCATCGGGTCCTCGTGCTTGAAGGAGTGGTTGGGGAACTGCGCAGCGTGGTGCGAGGGCGTGTGACTATAGCTGGGCGTCCCATCGAAAGTGACTGTACTGTATCCTGGGGAAGTGACAGAAAGAAACACCACGGTCAGCCATTCTCTAGAGGACGCAAGGGTTTGACCAGAACCCGCACCGCAGTGGGTTCCTGGTCCCTGGATTCTGGTCTGGTTTGGACAGGAAGCAGGGCCCAAGCCCAGCGGCCAGATCTCACCCTATCTCCCAAGCTCCCCGCTGTTTCTCAATTCCTCTAGGTCTAGGTCTTCCAGGGTGATAGCCGCTTCTGCACAGACCCTCCAGCAAGTTAGGTGTAAAAACTGTCGCCCGCTTGGCGCATAAAGTTGTTCTTAAAAAACAAACAGCGCAGCTCTCAGGCAGGGGCGGTGCGGCAAAGCGAACTGAATTTGCTCTACTGACCCTGCGCTGACTCCAAGCTGTAAATCAGGGGTCCCCGCGCACCAGCTTTCATTAATTACTCGGAGCTAGTTATCCGACCTGCGTTTTAAATGGAAAAGGTAATTACCAGGAAATGTTATCTGCCTGGGCTGCACAACCCGACACCAGGATACCCAAGATCTTTAGGCTCGCTACTAAGGGTGGAAACAAGGTAACCATTTGGATGCGAAGACATCCAGTCTCGCCCCAGTCCTCTTCCCCTCTCCAGCCTACCCAGAGCCCAAGGGATCCATGGCTGCGGTGGGTGGCCCACCTCCTTGCCCACAGGCCAAAAAAGCCAGGTTTCCTGTGGAACATTGTTCCTCCTTTTCCCTTGTTAGCACTGCCTTGGCCCCCTCTTCCTCAGTTTCCCCTCGGAGAAACAAAGGCCCAAAGTCTTCCCAATCTTTCAAATGGGTGAAAAGTAAAGTGGCATCTTAGAAAACTTGTATAGTTATTGGTACTAAATTTCTGTAAACACATACCCGGCCTGCTACTTTGGAAAGCTGTTGGTGTGGCAGAGGGACATCCCTTAAGGAGCTTTCTTGGGATGTGAATCTGGGAGTGGGGTCTTCCCCTGGAGTGATGAAGCTCAGAAGCCTAGACATGCAGGCCAGAGGCAAATGAAAGGTGGAGCTCTCAGGGTAGCTGGGTCCTTCCTGGCAGAGCCATCACGGGGGGGGGGGGGAGGCCTCCATTCCTTCCCCCTTCAAGGAGTCTCCAAAACCCCCACAATTCTAGGGAC